AGTGGTACGACAGAAAGGGCAGCAATCCGACCGTCCGAAATGAGACAAGAGAGTGGTGCCTTAGTGGTCGATATTGTTGATCTGACAGTTGTAAGCCGGAGGCGGGAAAAAATAGCAGCGCAATCATCTAAGAGCTACTATATCTTGTCCTCACAATTCATACTGCAGATCTAAGCAGTTCTCGTATCCGAACAGTTTCATCGCATTCATCCTCCACAACGCAAAGGTTTCCAAATATTTCACATGTTGCTACGGTTGCAGTATAATACACTATATTTTCATTTTAGTTCACATTGCCAGTCACCACATTCACAGTGTGAATACCTAAACTTGTTGCAGTGCACTAGATCCCCTTCCCTAGAGTTTTCGTGCCAAAGGTCTCCCGAAGATTTCACTGCTGTTTCGGCTGCTGGTTCAGGATTTCGTCATCTTCATTAATGTCGTCTAATGCTGGTCAAAACGAACTCCAAACAACTGCATACTTGGAGACAACGGAGCTAAGACGCTCTTCAATGATTGCACGAAAGCTTTGAAGAAGGGGGTCAAGTTGGGAACTCACGGCCTGTCAGACTGTATTAAGAGATCCTCTATTCTCCCCAAATCTAATACTAGATTGGAAAGAAAGCTATCATCGTCTGATAAAACATTCAAAATTTATGGATGTATTCAGACAGCAAACAGCAACAAATATTCTTCAAAATACAGGCCATCATTATCCACTACTTTCTGCCATCGGTCCGCCAGGTTTCGAATGTGATCGAAGTAAGGCCCTTCGGCTTTGAAACAAAGAACTCTTGACATGTTTCCTCACCTTCATCGAGAGATTCAAATCGGCGACTTTCCCAAAAGTGTTGCATTGATCGGAAAAGGCCGTAATCAGATAGAGCAGCGTTCGGACTAAAGGGTGGATGCTGTAGAATCTCCACTCCGTCCAATTCCTTAAATATGCCTTGGTATTTTGGCTGTGTGTAGTTTTGCGCTGTCTTCGGCGAGCAGGATCAGCAGCATTCGAACTTAAATTTGTAGTCGTAAAGATCAACAAATGTCTTTGTTCCCTGAACATTTCCATTTTGCAGCGCATATAGACAAATTATATATCAATAGCTGCACAAGAAGCAGACCTATAAGATGACATGAAACACACGCGATCCATGGAAAAAACGACATTCCCATCCAAACAATGTAAGTTTTCTTTCCAACCTGATATAATTCAGTATACAATGCAGTAAGCACAAAATACAATGAAACGTCTGCAAAAAACCTCGGTTGCATGAGTTGAAAAATTATCAATGTTGAACGGTGACAAGACGACGCAAACCATCAGAACCGCATGAAGTGGTTAAGTTATTTGATTTTAAAGCCTTTCAACCGACTGTCTTGAGACCTCGCTCAAAAACAGTGTAGGTTCAAAATGTATTTTAAGCCTTTCATGAGGTCTGTAATGAGCATTTACACAGCGCAAGAAACGTGTTTCGGCTTCACAGCGTCGTCAGTTGCACGGTACCTTTCTTCTGAATCAATCCTTTGTAGGGAGATAACTAGTGCATATACAGAGGCGACGTTGACTGCGGAAACACGTGTCTAACATTGCATGAGTGCTCATGAAAAGCTCAAAATACAATGTCGTATTACATTGTTCTTGAGCGAGGTCACATAACAGTCGATTGGAAGATAATGTTAATATGCCTTGTAACAGTAATCCGCTATATCAACAATCGTTTCCCTGAAAGAACGTCGAAGTGATTGTTTCACCGTACACTGAATGTCACATGCTCGTCGCGGGCTCTCTATATAAGGCTGTATATCCCCGAGGAACTGATTGAACGAAAAGGCACCGTGCAAATGAGGAGGATAAAGTAGAACACGTGTCTTGCATTGTATAAGTGCCTATGATAGACCTCATGAAAGGCTCAAAATACATTGTCAGATTATATTTGACTTCAGCTATAGTGATTAAATTCATGTCCCATAAGTTGTGAAATTCTTCTATCTCCCTTCACAGTGAAGAGGCGGTTGTAATGCTGGGACATATTTGTGTTTCTCTGCGATTGTTGCTTATAATCACGATAGAACTAAAGCGACACTAACAAAGTCTTATTATAATTCTTGTTATTTACAAAGACAAGAAAAAATTAAATTCGAAACTTGTCGTATTATTGCTTCTTTCCAAGTCCTCAAAGAAGGAGGTCTCTTCTTATAAATCCACTTAGGATGTAAACTTTTTAGCAACGGAAATGAAGTCCCCGTTTGAATTTCGTGCACTCTCTGCAGCGGTGGTAGTAAGATTTTGAAGTTAAGATGAGACTTCCTCATCAATCAATATGACAGAGAACTTATTTTACTATTTATTCTTCATTTAAAGTAAAGGAAAGTGAAAAATCTTCTTCGAAGCTCTTTTCATTCACGTCACTTTTACGCTTGTCAGAGAAACTTGTAGAAAATCCTCCCATCAAACCCCCACCAACAATATACCACATCAGTGCTTGGTTGTTTCCTATGCTCAGTTTGACCATTGCATCCACTACTCCCGCAAAAGGCATCTACTATCGTCAGTAACTGCGACTAATATCTGGATCAATTTATAAACGTTTGTGGACGATGAAGGGCTTTACGATCGTTGAAAATACGAAGATTTTTCTACTAGTCGAAGAAATTTCACTAGTCATCCGACAGCTTGAATCTCGGTAATTTCAAAACTGCCTCTGATTTCTAGGCTCCCTTAGTACGGTGTAGCAGCAAAAAAAAATTTATGTTTAATAGTCGGTTTGATTTAGTTACTCAGTTAATGTCTGCGGGTCGCTTTTTACTAGCCCTCTAACTTCCAGGGCCCGAATCTATGTGTCCAGCTGGCAAATGTTGACTGCTTGCCTCATCACCTCCTCCACTCCACCCCCAGCTTGAGTACGGCTTCACCTCCTCCTCTGCGGCTGTAACCCCAGCGTGGGAATTACTGTCTGTCTCACTTCTCTCCGTCATTCGTCAGACGGGATCCGTTTCGCAAAAAAAGAATCAAAGCGATAGGTTGATCCAGATAGGGACCGATTTTGGTAGATCGACACAAAATATTATGGTGGCTATTACGAAGATACACGAAAAATACATGCAAACACACAAGCACAAGGAAAACATAGCCCTAGTTGTCAAACAGATCTCAGTCTTTCACAAAAATGCCTGATTCCCGATATTACGGACACTCTATTTGTTTCGGACTAGGCATCGTTTTTCTGTAATTAGACTACTCCAGAAGTACAGAATACCCATTAACGTAGACTGGTGCGCAAAACTTTTGCGTCAGATGGGACACAAATCCAAATTTCACCGTATCAGGGGCGCGTGCTTAAACAGCTGCACAACCGACGCTCGTTTTGACATCATTCTTTCTACGCTACAACGCATCTTTCTATCAGCAACCAAACTGTCCACCCTATGCCACTGGTAGTCGCTATCGACATTGAACCCAGTCACGCTGATGACACTGGGTTATAGATTATCAAACAGAGTTGCTTTTTATTCAGCCACTTTAGCACTATTATGATGTTATAAATATACCCATGAAGTAGAGTGATTGTGCAAAACTTTGCGTCAGGTGAGACCGTGACTGGAATCATTGTCAATAGCGACTACCCATGCATTATCGTTGACGGCTGGTTGCTGAAAAAAAGGTGCAGTTTAGCGTAGAAAGAGTAGCGTCAAAACAGGCGTCGGTAGTGTAACAGCTCGAGCACTCGTCCTTGGATAGGGATAAGATGTAGGTTCGGGTCCCACCCGACGCAGAAGCCTTACACAACATTATACATCAATGATTTATTACATCATATCACCTCTAGAGCGCGCATGTGGCGCAGTGGTTAGAGGTGCCTTTCGTCGCACACGAGGTCAATTGTTCGATCTCGCGCTCATGGCTCACCAAGCCATCCATCCGCCCGGGGTCGGTAAATTGGTACCAGAGTGGTCTTAGACCTGTCTGGGAGGGTAAGCAGCACTGACTCGGTTAAGCGGGAGGCCACCGCGAGTCATTGTAAAGGCCAGATATGCATTCAATCACCTCAAACGAAGCTAGAGATTGAATGCGAATGCATGGCGCATCCCTTAGGGATTGATCAGCGCCGAGAGCTTCGTCCTTTTACCTTTTATCACCTCTAGAATTGGTTAAATGGAAACGAACTCTATTTGATTAACTAGCAGCAGAACAGTAGATTTATTGAGGAAATTTACTCCATCCCATCATGGACAGAAATGATATTCATCGGTTCGATTCGCTATATTTTGCTATGGTCCATCATGCAGGAACACTGCTGTCAGTACGAAGAGGCTTACAGCTTATTTCAAGCGTCTTCAATATGATTGGTGACATCCGATGAGCAGTCAAATCAACTCGTCCGAAAAACGCCTTTTATGTTCTGAATAATGCTGAATAGAGCTTTTCACGACAATCGTCCCAGAACAGCATGCATAGAAACAAGCTGTTGACTAAATGAAAAAAGTGCTACAAAATGCAAAGAAATTAGCAAGAAGCGTGAGCATTGAAATCGATACGTATGGTCTGTAAAGAGCACCCGCTCATAGTGGAATCAACACATGTGGTTGCGAAAGTCGCAGATATTCTATGAACTCGTCTCGAAGCCGCTGCAGCATCGCTTTTGAGTATTCAAATGGCCAAATTTGAGCGTGGTTCGCAATTCATTTTACGCCATCAAATTATTCACTGATAATTAGAAGGAAAAAACTGGTCAAATCAATGTTATTCTCATTTCTAATTGTTTGTGATGTAACAAAAATTTATTCGAAATCATTATATTTGACTGTCTATTGCGGTGTTATGATGTTTCTGTAAACCCAATGATGTAGAGTGGTGTGCAAAGACGTTTGCGTCAGCCGTTATTCCAATCCAGATCTTACTCAATGGTTCAGTGTCGATAATGACTGCCTCGTCATACCGTAAACGGTTGGCTGTTGACAGGTAATGAGTTGTAGCGTAGAAAGAGTGGAGTGCAAAACGAGCGTCGGTGGTGCAACGGTTCAGCATATGTTCCCGGAAAGAGTAAGATCTAGGTCCGAATCCTAGCTGACGTAAACGTTCTTGCACACCACTTTACATCATTGGGTTTACAGAACAAAAATTTTTGTTTTAAAGATTGAATAATGATATACGTGATAAACAACGTGATTTAGAAGTGTAAGTAAACAGTAGCGCTGTTTGTGTTGCAACGTTAAATTTCTCACAACCAGTGATTCATCATCGATTTTTCGAGAGTGTTCACTGTTGAGTCATGTGACTCAATCAAAGTATTTACTTAGAGACTCGTTTTATTAAGAAATTCCAAGAGTTTCTACTGAGATAAATCGATTGTGTTTACACAAGTAAACAAATATTATACTTAAAAAAGCTTCCAAGAAATATCATATTTCGCATAAGTATGGTTTCTAATGGAAAATTCCTGTGTGATACAGTCTACCTGGTATATTTATGTTATGTTGATAAAGTGGATCGGGTAGAGGGCCGTGGCGGAGTGGCTGTGATGCTCGCCGCGGCACGGTGCAAGGCTGAACCCCATCTCCAACACCCTCCTGCATACAGCAACGAACACCCCATAGATCTCCACAGCCAGCCTAACCTTGGGATTGCAAGGGGAAGTGCTCATCCAGTATTCTAGTGCGTTAAGAAGACGAAAACGAATGGAATTCTAGAAGAATTGAGATCCGCAGAAAAAAATGTGAGTTTTTAAAGAGAGTGGATAAAATTTCGAAATGAATCAAAACAATACCAAACAGTGATCGACACTGTAGAGCGCACAAAAAATTCGAGGGAAGCGAATTTGTTCAGTGATGTTCCGTCATCGGCCAACTAGCGATACGAAGATAGATTGATTACTTGCATTTTCGTCCATCTCGTCATCGTGTAAATACAGAGCACATGAGGTTCAGTAGTAAGAAATACCCTTTCATGTATACGTGGCCGAAGCTGGACAGAACGGTTTGGAAGATCAGTCACGATCCACAGAAAGCTCCATGTGGTGAAGTTCTGGATCTCTGCGCACTCTCGATGCTGTGAGTACATTGCACTTTGGGTGCGACGGTTTGCGTTTTGATTGTTGATCAATGAACTAACTGCTTTACGCCACGCGGGTTTTATGGTGCGAACGAGCACGGTTGGTGACGATGAAGTTTATTGTGGATAAAGTATACAACCTATGATATATAAGAATTACAAACGATTTTATCACACAAATAAAAATGCACAGCAGTAGTGTGAAGCCTCTCAATAGCGTAGTGACGAATTATAAGGATTAATCACCGATTAACGAAGAACATCATTTGTAAGGCCTGGTTGCGAGAGTGATGGGGAGGAGCATATAAGAACTGATAAGATGAAGTCACACTCTACCTGACCCGTGAAAGTGTGCACCTGTGGTGACATCCTGTGGGTGATTAACCTTGACAGTACCACGTGTATCACTCATGGTAAACGCTTATTCTCGCAGTTTTCTCGTATAGTACAGACGTTTCATTGGAGTTTCAATAGTTATTCAATAGCTGAAAAATGCGATTCTGATGGTATGCATGATTCTTGGAAATGCTTTTCTAGTGAGCTGTAGCAACGAAGAGAATATGACGTTTGGGAATGTATAGCGTAATTTGCACTCGTATTTGCTTGGTTTTTTCACCAAACAAAGCTTTCTCTCTTGAATTTTGGTGGTCATTCGATGGCCTGGACAATATTAATTCTAAATATAAAATTGAACTTCAAAATTAATTCTAATCGAAGCAGTTTACTGCGCTGTAGTATGGACGAGCAGAAATTACGTTTCGTCTACGGAGTGCTTTGGGCGCTTCGCTATCGCCTATGCTTGACTTTACATTAGATTTTTGATAAACATTCGATAGCTCAAAAAATGCAAATTTTGGAGTCTTAATTTAGTTTTTTGAATTGAATTTTTGGTGCGCTGTAGCAAGGGAATTAAGATCACTTCTCGAGCTCTGAGTAATCAGCACGTCGCTTTAATTTCGCAGTAGGTGTATTAATACCTGTATAGTGAAATTTGTCCTCTAGAGACAACTTATGATGAGAAAGAATGAGAGGTTACTGAAGGCTTCCATAGAAACCTTTTTATAGTAAAAAGGACGCCCACGTGCCCTGAACATCCCATTTTTCAATACGAAGGCCACATCAATGACTATACAATGCATCTCGATTTCTTACTTCTTATTTTTTTGAAGATATATAAAGTGTAATTTAAAAAAACATCTCCTTCAATGTATGACTTTTTCCAGAAGATCATGTGATGTGAATTTTAAGATGTAACCGGGATAATCCACGGCAGAGCCCACAATTATCACTTCGTAGGGTACACATTTGAAGAAACTGCATATGCCTGGCCGAAATTTTTCAAACCATTCACCGATGTCAATCTTTTGTTTGAAATATTCATTCAGCAATCAACAATTTTGCAAAGAGCATAGATCATTAGCAGTTTTCTCCATATGTCCATATGTCGGTACTGGTCAGTATTTACCCATGTTGCATCGAAATTTGCACTATTCAATATCTTTTTTGACAAACAGGCACTTTTCCCCTATCCGCACCCATTTTCAAAAAAGTCCATTTTCTTGCTCTCCCTAGACATTTTGACAGTGATTCAACAGCTCAAATTTTGAAACTTCTGGATTTTATTTTTTTAATGGCCTCTAAATTACCCTGCAACAGTGAAGATAAGATTTTATTGCACACAAGCTTTTCTCTCTAAGCAAAGATTTACTTCAAGGAATTCTGCAGACATTTGATAGCACAAATTTTAACAAATTTAGTAGTGTTTCTGCTTATTCAAAAAAACTTTTGCTGCACTGCAACACTGAAATTAACACTGCATTTCAGAAGCGTCTTACAAACCTTGCCCAGGCATGTGGATCAATTTCCCAACATTGGCATCAATCAAGCCAACGCTTTTCGATAATCTTTTGATAGCTTAAATTTCGAAGATTTCAATGGTGTGCTTGCTTTTGAAAAGAAATCTTTTGGCGCTATAAAGGATAAAAGGATAAAGCTCTCGACGTAGATCAATCCCTTAGGGATGCGCCATGCATTCGACTTCAATTTCTAACTTCGTTTGAGGTGATTGAGTGCATATCTGGCCTTTACAATGACTCGCGGTGGCCTCCCGCTGAACCGAGTCAGTGCTGCTTACCTCCCAGACAAGTCTGAGACCTGCCTGGTACCAATTCACCGACCCCGGAAGGATGGATGGCTTGGTGGGCTATGAGCGCGAGATCGAACCATTGACCTCGTGTGCGACGCAGGGCACCTCTCACCACTGCGCCACATGCGCTCACTTTGGCGCTATGTAGAGTAGGAATAGAATTGTACTGCACATCTGAGTACTTTTAGCTGCACACAGATTTCTCTTAGACTTTTGATAACAGTTCGATAGCAGAAATCTTAAAAATTTTAATGATATATTTGATTTCTCATATAACTTTGTGCGCGTTCTTACATCTAGGAGAATATTGTGTTTCGCACTCGGCGCCCAACGCACACTACATGTGAGCGCGACCGACACGGCGCCGAGTGCGAAACTGAAGTTTCTTTTAGCTCTAACAGCGCATTAAGAAGTGTTTTTGAAAACTTAACGTATCGATGAGATTTACGCTGTCTAATGGTATGATAGGGTTTTGTTTTTTTCAAAAAACGGCCAGATAGCGTTATAGCCAGATATTCATCCTTTCAAATGATTACTAACACTCTTATGAAAAGCTCTCATCCAGTCAAAGGGGTCGAATCTTCTGTCGCCTTATAGCAGGCAGAAACTATTTTTCTACCCACTCATGTACTTTTTGTGCAGATAAAATTCTTATCTGCTAAGAATTTCATCCTCAATCTCACAGCACACTCTAGAAACCTTTTTCAAAGAGCAGATTTAGCTTTGTAATCGTTCAGCTTATCAGGCAGCGATTATATAGCTTAACCCTTTAGCTTCCACAGGCCCAGATCTGTGCGTCTTACTGACAAGGGTGAGCAGTCTGCCCGACCTCTTCGCCACTCTCACCACTAACGGCTCCACCTCCTCTTCTGCAAATGTGGCTCCCAGTATCACTGTCTGTCTCAATTCTTTCTGCCGTCCATCGGAAAGAAGGTTGCTGGTTTGATTCCTTATCACAACACATCACTGTGTTTTTTTTTACTGTTATCGTCTTGGTGTCGACTGGTATTGAAACTTCTTCTGTAACGTAATTTCTATGGCAATAGATGCTCAGATGTCTGACATTTCACTACTTCTTGATATAAAACGTGAATCCATGAATAGCAACTCATATACAAGTTTTTTTGTCTGGATGACATCTCCAAGTTCTTTCCTGGACGACAATGTGGCAGTTTTTAATGTAAATTATTTTAGAATGAGATTTCAAATCTATGTAAACTTCTTATTTCTTTCCGGTTCAGTATGCTCTCGAGACAGTTTTTTATATCAAGCCTCCCCGAAACAACTTCAACGAAGCTTTATACAAGAGTGAGGCCGTACAACTCTGCCTGAGAGACCTGGTATGCCATCTGCTTCCGACGGTTTCATTTCCACATCACAAAAAGTTGGATATGCGTATTTACCTTATGGATTTACGTTTTCTTTCAAAAGGTAGTGCAATGTTAGACAACCAAGCGTTTTTGCCATAATAATCGCAAAAATTCCAGTGTTTTTACTGCGTCTTTCGCAGTGTTATGGTGCTTCATACATAATTCAGAGAACTGAGTGGTGGGCAAAAATACGACGTCAAACGGTAGTCGAACCCGCTTTTCATCTATACGTAGGACCCGTGCTATCACTACACCACCGAGGCACATTCGCAAATTGGTTGCTGACAGCTATCATACAGATATTGAAGAATGAGTGGTGATGCTAATATACTTCAGTGGTGTAGTGGTAGCACGCACCTCCGGTGTGGAAGAAACGCAGGTTCGACTTCTATCTGAGGTAGTATTTTCGCTCACCACTAATTCCTCTTTGGTATATAATAATTGCGTTATAGAACCTTGAACACTAATCGACATCAAAATGTTAGTACCAAAAGATCTTCAGTGACAC